CCAGGTCCAACCTGGCTTTAGTTCCAGTTTGACTTTAGTCTATGCCTTAATTGTGCAGAAAAATTACTTTATATACATTCTCACATTTATTCCTCACAAAGGAATGTTCTTAGTCCCCACTCAACAAATAGACAAACTTTAAGTTCAGAGGTTAAACGTCCTCCTTGGGTATGCACAGTTCTGACAGATTTATTACTTAAACCTAAGTCAGAATCCAAGGTCCTTGAGTCTAATCTAGACGATCACAATGGGCAGACCAGAAAGCATGCTTGCATTTAGTTAAAAGTCACAAATAGGGCTGGGAAGGTGGCTCAGTGGTAGAGCGCTTGCCTTGCATGCATGAAGCCCTTGGTTGGATTCCTCAGAACCACATAAGCAGAAAGAAATAAAAGCCGGAAGGGGCGCTGTGGCCCAACTGGTAGAGCACTAGCCTTGAGCTGAAGAGCTGAGGGACAGTGCCCAGGCCCAGAGTTTAGGCCCCACGACCGGACCCAAAAAAAAAAAAAAGAAAGATATATATATATATATATGTGTGACTTTTTTTGGGGGGAGGGGTTCGGTCGTGGGGCCTGAACTCTGAGGCTGGGCGCTGTCCCTCAGCTCTTCAGGTCAAGGCTAGCGCTATACCACTTGAGCCACAGTGCCCCTTCCGGCTTTTTTCTTTTTTTGCTTATGTGGTACTGAGGAATTGAACCCAGGGCCTCAGGCATGCAAGGCAAGCGCTCTACCACTGAGCCACCTTCCCAGCCCGTAACAAATATATTATTAAGACTAGACAGAAGCTGGGCTCTGGTGGCTCGTACCTGTAATCCTAGCTACTCTAGAGGCTGATATCTGAGGATCGAGGTTCAAAGCCAGCCCAGGCAGGAGAGGCCGTGAGACTCTTATCACCCATAAACTACCAGAAAAACTGGAAGTGGCACTTTGGCTCAAATGGTAGAGCATTAGCCTTGAGCTGAAGAGCTGAGGGACAATGCCCAATGCCCAGGCCCAGAGTTCAAGTCCCGTGACTAATCAAAAAAAGACTAGACAAGATTTTCCTCCCCAAAATAAACAATACTCTTTTGCTGAAAGGAACTTAGAGATTATTGAATTATCTTAAATGGCAATGTATAGAACAAAGACTATGTTAACTTTTTGGGTCCTGTTATCACTTCTAATAATGGGAAATATACTCATAAATATTAAAAATTACTTATAGTTTATATATTTTTTCCAGCAGTAGAGAGTAAAAGAAAAGCCTCCTTCATACTTGGCAAGCTTCTTCCATCTTGAAAAATTCCCAATATAACAAGATTAGCCATGAGTTGGTTACTTATGCTAGATTTTGAATATATAGACATTCAATATATTAATCAATCTACCTTTTTCATGATTAAAATTTTATTTTGTATATATATGTATTTATTGCTCCTATTATTTTATTCATTTAGATTACAAAGGTAAGCTTAACACAGCATAAAGACATAATGTGAAAGAAAGGAAATATACTTACTATGAAATCATCATAAAACAAAGTGTGACTAACTTGCAAATGTCTTATTAAACTGCCATTGAAGCTGCTTGGACTCTCATTAGGTGTTAAGCGGCAAAGAGGACAAAACTGGAAAGGAAACAGGACCAAGAATTCATTAAAGCATGTTACTGATTATTATCATCAGAACTTAAAAAGATAAGTAACCATCTGAAGTAAATTTTGATTTCATGAGTCCACTGGCCATACATCTCTCAGTGCTGTGTTACGAATGCACTTATTTCTTCATATACATTTCTCATCTATTTGTATACACACTATCTGTTCCCATGTCAAAAATGTTAATTACATGAGCTGGGCATGATGATTCCACACTTTTAATCCCAATTACTTGGGAAGTGGAGATCAGGATTGCAGACCAAGACCAACTTGTGCAAATACTTGCATATGTGAACTTAACAATAAGGATCTGATCAGAATCTGCAGGCTCCATGCTTAGAGCCAGTCATATAGACATGACTGCACCCTTGTCTCTAGCACAAAGGAGCTCAGTGGAACCCAGTGGAGAACAGAGATAACACAAACCTAGGATTGCCAGCAAAGGAGTTCCTGTTTATAGTCTGACATTAATAGGGAGATAGTGAGACTTTAGTGTGTGGAGTACATAAAATTTAGTTGAATGGTAAGTAGACATCTATCAGAAAGGCACAGCAAAACAATGGACTGAAGCATATACCACTCACAAAACTCATTTTTGTTTCCTTATGAGCAAGATATGGCCTGAGGGAGAAAGAATAATGTCAGGAAGGGGAAAAACAATGGTAGGCGAGAGAAAGACTGGCCATTACCTGAGTTACCTAAATATTCACTGACACGCTAATTGTAGCCAATTTCCCAACATCAGTGCATATTTTATTATCTCTCCCCAAAGCTCCCACATGATAATACTTACATTAGAAATATACAATTGTACATGGAAATGATGCTGAACTCATCTATTTTTTTTCTTGTGGGGGAGAGTACTAGGGTTTGGACTCAGAGCATAGTACGTGCAAGGCAAGTACTCTAATACTTGAGCCACACTGCCGTTCCCCGCACAGCCCCTGTTGCTTTATTCTTCATCGATAGTGCTTTTTGGATAGGTGGGACATGGGACATGAAGGTCCTACCTATGTTTCCCATGTAGTTGGGATTACAGCTGTGAAGTATCATACCTACTTTATTTGTTGAGATGGAATCTTGTTAACTTTCTGCCCAGCTTGCCCTTGAATCTCAGACACTGATCTCTACTTCCAGAGTAGCTGGAATTAGAGGCATAATCTACCAAGCCTAGCCTGCTTTATCTTAATACTGACTTTTTCAGATGGAATACAGTGGCTATGCAATTAGAAGACACTATCAAACTTCAGATAACTGGTAACTATTTTAAAAAGAGATGAAATCTCATAGAGAAAAAGAGAGGCAATTAAAAGGAAATAAGAAACTTTAGACCTAATGCCTAGGTTGTGGTCATATTTTTCTTACTCTAGTACCTACAAAAACCTTTACAAAGTTTTATTTTACAGAGACTTTACCAGACTAGTGGTATGCCTTAATCATTATGTAGCAAATTGCTACATAATGACCAGTCCCAACAGTACTCAGTGATCTAGAATAATTGTTTGTGTTACTTCTACTTATCCTCTCTGACTATCCTTGTGTTCTGCTTTAACTGTTGGGTAAGAGAAATGCCAATCAACTGCAAAATACACACAAGAGGAAAGTCAAGACATTGAGAGATCAAGAAACACAAAGACATTAATTAGCACTTAGTGTGGGAGGCTGGCTTTAGTTACCTGTGAGGACTCTTTTCCCAGAGCTTAGTTGGACAACTTTAGAACAGTTCAGATTAAGCCAGGCGCTGGTGCTCATGCTTGTAACCTTAGCTACTCAGGAGGCTGAGATCTGAGGATCATGGTTCAAAGCCAGCCCGGGCAGGAAAGTCAGTGAGACTCTTATCTCCAGTAAACCACCAGAAAACCAGAAGTGGCACTGTGGCTCAAGTGGTAGAGCTCTCGCCTTGAGTTGAAGAGCTGAGGGACCCAGCTGAAGCGCCCAGGCCCAGAGTTCAAGCCCCACAACCAACCAAAAAATAAAAAAAGAACAGTTCAGATAAATAAGGAGCCAATACTCAGTCTCTCCATATGCCTTTTTCCTATATTATTTACTTCTTCTATATGATCTATTTCCTATATGATCTACTTTCCTATATGATCTATTTAATCTCTCTTTCTAGAATTTTAAAGGCCATTGGGGGAAAAATTAATCCCAACATAATAAGAAAATGAGTCTTTGGCTGGAGTTGTGGCTCAAGCAAAAGTGTTTGCCTTGCAAAAGTGAAGTCCTGAGTTCAAACTCAGAACAGCAAAAAACAAAACAAAAAAAACCTCTCAGGATGGAGATCTCTTTTAGTAAAGCACATGCCTAATATGCACAGGCTATGGGTTCATTCCTCGGCACTACAAATAAATATAAAGAAACAAAAAAATCTTCAGAGCCAGGCACCAGTGGCTCATGCCTATAATCCCAGCTACTCAGGAGGCTAAGGTGGCTGTTTGAAGCTAGGCCAAGCAGGAAAGCCCAAGGGACTCTTATCTGCAACAAATTACTCAGAAAAAGCTAGAAATGGCCCTGTGGCTCAAGTGATAGAGTGCTAGCCTTGAACCAAAAGAAGCTCAGGGACAGTGTTCAGACCCAGAGTTCAATCCCCAAGTCAGGCAGGGAAAAAAAATCTTTAGGAAGAAACCCAGAATAGATGAAATGCCAGGATTGTTTTTTTTTTTAATTTTAAAAAATATAAATCTAGGCTGGGAAGGTGGCTCAGTGGTAGAGTGCTTGCCTTGCATGCATGAGTCCCTGGGTTCGATTCCTCAGCACCACATAAGCCGAAAAAGCTGGAAGTGGTACTGTGGCTCAAGTGGTAGAGAGCTAGCCTTGAGCTGAAGAGCTGAGGGACAGTGCCTAGGCCTAGAGTTCAGGCCCCATGACAGGCAAATATATATATATATATATATATAGTTATTATTATATATATAGTTATTATTATATATATAGTTATTATTATATATATAGTTATTATTATATATATAGTTATTATTATTCTTAAGGCATTGCACAGAAGGGTTACCATTTCATAAGCCAGGTAAAGAGTATATTACTTTTTTGGACAATGTCATCCCTTCCTTTGCTTTTACTCAGTTTCTACCTCCTGTCCCTGAGCACAATTTCCATAGTCCATTTTCTACATAGTGTATACTTAATAGCCTGGTTGCATTTGTTCACCCTACATTCCTTCCTTTCTGTACTCCCTCTTTACCTCCCCCACCAATAAAACCACAAAAGCAAAAACAATTTTGTTTTTGTTTGTTCTTACTATGTAGCCAATGCCTTGCTTGAAACTTCAGATCTTCCTGCCTCAGCCTACTGAGCTCTAGGATTACTGGCATTGTAGCACACCATGCCCTGCTTAGGTTTCCTAAAATTAATCTCACTCCTTTCCTCCTTCCCTCTTTCCCTAATTTTCTCCTTTCCTCTTTCTTTCCCTCCCTCCATCCCTCCTTTCCATACTGTATAACTCCAGTTGGCCTTGAACTACCATCCTCCTGCCTTAGCCCTCAAGTGATGACATTAGAGGCCCACAAACCACATTTCTTATCTCAGTGACATTTCTTAACTCTGTTCTTGTTCATTGCAAGATACTGAAATAGGGCTGGGAAGGTGGCTCAGTGGTAGAGCGCTTGTCTTGCATGCCTGAGGCCCTGGGTTCGGTTCCTCAGCACCACATAAACAAAAAGAAAAAAGCCATAAGTGGTGCTGTGGCTCAAGGGGTAGAGCACTAGCCTTGAGCTGAATTGCTGAGAGACAGCGCCCAGGCCCAAAGTTCAGGCCCATGACCGGACCCCACCCCCCACCAAAAAAAGATACTGAAATATTTCCATTTAGAATGGGGAGGTTTTTATTTACTATGACAGGAGAAAGTAACTATTTTCTTAAAGGGATTCCATTTGTTGGAACAGTAAATAGAGTAAGAATGACTAAGCCTAAAACTTCAAGCCTAGGGTTTTTTTTTTTTCTGTTTTTGTTGTTGTTGTTTTGGTTTTGGTTTTGGTGGTAGGCTTGAACTCTGGGCCTGGGCATGTCCCTGAGCTCTTCAGCTCAAGGCTAGCACTCTACTACTTCTGGGTTTCTGGTAGTTTATTGGAAATAAGAGTCTCATAGCCTTTCCTGCCTGGGCTGGCTTTGAATCATGATCTTCAGATCTCAGCCTCCTGAGTAGCCTCCTGAGTAGCTAGGATTACAGGAGTAGCAACCAGCACCTGGCAAGCCTAGGGTTTCCATAAGCTCAGTGTTAGAGTTCTTGCTTGGCATCAGTAAGGCCCTGGGTTCCAGTCTCAGCAAAACACACACACACACACACACACACACACACACACACACACACACACACGCAGAGTAATAAAGTTTACCACAGGTCTCCTTTCTGATCTGTGATGAGTAATACAATGATCCAGTAAGCTGTCTTCATCCAGTTCTTTCTGACAAAATGGACACACACATCTGGAAATTGCATAGAATTACAAACATTACTAACATCAATAGCAGCAAAAGTAGTTAAGAAATAGGTATCTAGTCTTTCCTCCTTTTCTCCTTTCCTCTCTACCTCCCTTTGTCCCTCCCTTCTTCCTTTTCAAGTCTTGCTACATGGTAAAAGATGGCCTCAAACTCACAATTATCCTGCCTCAGTCTCCTGAGTGTAGCATTTCAGGTTTGCACCAACACATTCTGCTTTAATCCTGGTTCTTCTGCTTTGATCTATTTTTCCTATCCTTATACCTGCAGTTTTCCCTATGAGAAATGTTCATCCTCGGGGGACAGAGCAGAGAAACACTTATAGGCTATTTGAAGCATCTTACTCCCTTTGTAAGAGAAGTGCAATCACAGCACCTGGCAAAGGAATCAGGACCCCTGTCCTTGGCCTGCCCTTCCCCTGTTAGAACATATACTGACATGACACTTCCTACCCTCTGAAATAAAACAAATAAAATGAAAGGGAGAGAAATGATGAATAACCTTTTAGTCACAGCCTACTTCAGCAATTTACTAGTCCAAAAGCAGAGGCTAGCAGAAGTGTAACAGTTCTGCATTCTGTTTTTGGATCTTCCTTAATGCTACAAACTTGCCTGAGGAAGTTGCCCCAAGGTCTCCATACACATTTTGAAGTGGAAAGAAAAAAATTCATGTGAGTGTATGCATGTGCATGAGTACATGCATGTACCAGTACTGGGACTTTATTATACTTTCACTTGGGTTTTTTGCTCAATGCTGGAGCTCTAGAACTTGAGCCACACCGCCATTTCCGTTTTTTTGTTTTGTTTTCTGGGTTTTTTTTATGATTAGTTAGAGATAAAAGTTCAGGCACTTTTCTGCCCAGAGTGGCTTAAAATTATGATCCTCAAATCTCAGACTCCCAAGTCGCTAGGATTACATGTATAAGCCACCACTGCAATCAAGAAAAGTCTTAGCAAATAATTGCTATTATAAAATCATTACTATACCTGGTTATTAAAGTTAAGAGCCTGAATGTAACTATATAAATATTTTCATAATTTAAAAAACAGCCCAACTTTCCAGCCCAATAATTTCTTTTTAGCCATCTCAAATTTAGCATTGCATTACACTAGATGAAAACAAACCTCGTTGCTGTCTCTGAAAGTTCTTGTAGCGGTCCATACTTATCGATGTATTTCTCACATGTCCTTATGTGCGCCCTCATTTCACTGAGGCAAACCTACATAAAGACAAATTCAAAATAAACTTCTGTTGAAAAGGGGTTTTATGTTATCCAGCTTTATAACTTTTAAGGGAGGTCACGCTGGGTCAGCTGATTAAATGGATGCATTCATGAGACAGTATCTCAAAGTAAAGGCATTAAGTTTTGCCAGTACTAATAAGGCCCAAACATTGAGTTTCTAAATATCATTTTTCTAAAAAGCACATATTTTAAGTGAACATGCACATCTTTTTTGAGTGAATATATAGTAACAAAATATTATTTCACATGCCATTTTATAATTAGGCATTGGTAAGACAGAAGAGAAAGAAAATCAGGTAAAGAAAAAAGAGCAAGAAGGAGAAAAAGAAAACATTAAGAAGAAAGAAGAGACAGAAATAAAAAAATAAGGTACGGAAATTAATGTGTGAATTTTAGAGGTATGCATAGTAAATGAAAGGAAAACCCTTGTCTTTGGGAAAACATAAATACCATGGTTTTATAGCATACCACATAGTATCCATCACATGAATTCACAATACACAGTATACTTAATGGCCCTATTAAGAGCAAACATAAAAGACAGCTCTTGCAAGTCCATTTTTATCAATGCAGAATAAAAAGCCCTTGTTCTTCCAGAAATACATTCAGATCCTAACCATGAAGGATCTGTTGCTAACATAACACAGACTCTACTAAATGTTTCATTAGGAGCTCTGATAAGATCTTGTGCTAGAGGAAGCTTTGTACAGCTGTGGTGTGCAGGCCCAACCACTGTTTCGTTTTGCCCAAGCTAACGGAAGTGCAACCTCAAACAAGAAATCTACCACGTCAAGGAAACCGTTTAACAAGAAGACAAAAATTAACTACTGGGAAAGTAAAAACAAACCCTAGTTTTACAGATATTCACCAAAAACATAAAAAGCCAGGACTGATTCAGGTGCCATCTTAAATAGATGTGTTTACAACCTTCACCATTCTTCTTTGCATGTTTTCCTTACTACTTTTGCTATTAAAATTTTCTTTCTAAGGCAGGTATGGAATTGTAATTGTAATCTTGTAATCTCAGCCCTCAGGAGGCTTAAGGCTGTGAGAACTGGAGACCAGTGTGGGCTAAAAAAAAAAGAAACTGTCTGGAATTTTTATTTCTCTTTCTTTTTGTTGTTCAACAAAGATAAGCATGCCTCAGAAAAATAGCAACCTTAGGACTATGTATTGATAAATAAGTTGATAAATTCATATCCTACATACAAATTGAGGTAAGACACTGTTAGAAATTACAGAAAAATATTAACCACGTTCCTGCTCTAAAATGCTTATAAGCTATTAGAGGAAATGGACATGTAGACAGATCAGTAGGAAATCACTTGATATAAGAAATAGAATATTAAGAACAGACTGCATGGAGTGGGCCATCTGGCCTGGATAATATAGTCTAAAACTATGATTGAGAAATGGGCAGTGTTCCTGAATTGAGGAAAAGCATAAAAGGAAAGGTACCAACAATTTCTCAAAGATAAATTTGAGCTGGACACTGGTGGCTCATGCCTGTAATCATAGCTACTCAGGAGGCTGAGATCTGAGGTTCACGGTTCAAAGCCAGCCAGGATAGTCAGTGAGACTCTTATCTTCAATAAACCACCAGAAAACCAGGAGTGGCACTATGGCTCAAGTGGTAGAGCGCTAGCCTTGAGCTGAAGAGCTGAGGGAGCCCCCAGGCCCAAAGTTCAAGCCCCACGACTGACCCCCCCCAAAAAAGGAGGATAAATTTGAATACTTATAACTAATCAGACATGAAATGTAAGGATTTTGAAAAAAAAAGGAAGAGAGTTATCTGCCAAGGATACATTTCTATCAATGTAGAATAAGGAAATGAGTGATGTTAAATTTTACTTCATGACAAAAATAAGCAATAATAAACAATTATTAGGATTATGTGTGGGTGTGCATTGTCTATTCTATCTTTTTTCTTTATAAATATACATTTCTAAAGTAGTCTATTAATGAAAAATGAATAAAAATATATACAGTATATTAAAATATTAAATAACAGTTGGAGGAAAGCTGTTAGAACAATTTTAATTTAAATATTCTGTGCTTAATAACTTAAAGATGAATACATTTAATAGTGTGCACTGGTATTTGGACAAAATGTAGTTCAAGAAATAAAGCCATACATGAAAGATTAAAAAAAAATTATGTGTGGGGCTAGGAAGGTGGCTCAGTGGTAGATGCTTGTTTTGCATGCATGAGGCCCTGGCTTCGATTCCTCAGCACTACATAAGCAGAAAAATCTGGAAGTGGTGCTGTGGCTCAAGGGGTAGAGCATTACTCTTGAGCTGAAGAGCTGAGGGACAGTGCTCAGGCCCCATGACCAAACAAAAAAAAGAAAAAAAAAGATTAGCAGAGCTTTTCATTTTTAACAATTACAGTATTCTAGATATTATGCTAAAAGCCACTTTTAAGTACCTTCACACCAACCTTATAACATGAACATTTTCCCTTACTTTAAAAAAAGCAACTAAAAGCTTACATTAATCACTTAGACTTTATCATATTCATAAACTGCTTTTTAAAATGACAACTCCTTTCCACAATTAACTTAAAGATAATGCTAAAATGGAAAAAAAAATAGCAACCTAGTCCCACTCACGAGGAGTAAATGAGAAAAATCAGTGTTTGATAAACATTAGTCAGGCCTCATTACTACAAAAGACCATGCATAAATTCCAGTCAGGTAGCCATTAACCTTATATAATTATCAAATCTTATATAAATATTTTTAAAATATACAGAATTGTAACTACTTAATATTAATGATGATAACTATCATAATAAATGTTGTACAAGTTCTTAAAGATAATACATAAAATAAACTAAAATGAAAGCATTTAATCCTTAATTTTCAAAGTGCTGGGTGGGTAGAGTGTTGGAAGAGGTCCACACTGAAGGGGCATCCTTGTCTCCAAGGACTTGGCCTGGACCCAGGTCCAAGGACCTTTCGCCCAACATATGGAAGGTGACCACTTATGTATCCAGGGTAAGAAGGTAGCAGGAAAGTAATCTGTGGGAAAGGATGGGGCCCTTGCCCCAAAAGAGGGTTTGACAGCTAGTAACAGCAGAAGATGTCACCCTTGGAAGCTTGAGATTCCTGGCATTTGGCACCTAAGAACTTCCACCACAGTCAGAATTAATTCTTTAGGAGCCTCTGGCTAGAGCAAAGGTAGCTGGCTTGCACCTTAATTGGCCTCCAACTTTCTGTGGCAGAGGCACAGGAATAGCTCTGTACATAGACACTAGGGATTGGGTTTAATTTGTGTGTATGTTGTTTAAAAAAAAATACTACTGGCTGGGCATCAGTGACTCATGCTTGTAATCCTGACTACTCAGGAGGCTGAGATCTGAGGATCACAATTCAAAGCAAGCCCACGCAAGAAAAGTCTGTGAGACTCTTATCTCCCATTAACCTCCAAAAAACCAGAAGTGACACTGTGGCTCAAGTGGTAGAGTGCTTACCTTGAGCTCAAGAGCTCCAGGAACTTAAGCCCCACGACCAACAACAGCAACAAAAAAATATTGCTTTGGATAGTAGCAAACAGTTAATGATTATTTAATAAATGTTCCAAGTTTATGAAGAGAGAGAAAGGGAGAGAAGGAGGGAGATAAGAAGGAAAAGAAATAAGAAAGAAGGAAGGAAGGAAGGAGGGAAGGAAGGAAAGAAGGAGGGAGGGAGAGAGGGAGGGAGGCAACCAAACAGGGTACACAGATATTAATAAAATAAACACCCTGTTACCCTCATGGAACTCAAATTGAATGAGAATTATTGACACTAACCCAAAACCCACAAACTAGCAGTAAAGAAAATACAGGGTGCTATGAAAAACTTAGCACTCTTAAGTATACATTCTTTCTATGACTTATTATTGCATTTAGGGTAAAATCTCAAACTTTGTATAATATAGCCTTCAAGATCCTATACTGTGTGACTGAGACAGTCCAGTATGATACCGAAGATGTAAAATTACAAAGAGGAAATGATTAATAAATTCTACAAAGTCCTGAATCCTATAGGTGAAAATATGCCACAGGATCTGATAACAACCTTCCTCGTGTTTGGGTTTCAATGACATACTAAGAGTAGGGAGCTATGGGAGAAACAGAAAGAAGAGGAAATGGAGGTAGTCAATGAAAAATCAGGCATAGTAGTTCAGAGGCCTGTTGTTTGCAGCCTACACATTTGAAATTAGAGAAACAGAAATAAGGAGTCTGGGAGGAAACACTTAGAAAAGGTAGAGAGGATGTGAGTAAAAAACATAGGTGAAATGATCATTTTTCTCAAGGACCTGAGCTGATAACCATGATCATGAGCAGTTACATACCAGGGTATCACACTCCGTGCAGTTCTGGTACTCCAATTTCATTCTTTTAGCTACATCAGTTGCTGGAACTCCTTCTGAAGGAAGATATGCCCGGCAATATGGACAGGTCCACTTATTGCTCTTTAGACTGGTAGCAATACAGGAACGGCAGAATCTACCCCAAATAAAGGAAGAACACATCATTTTCCTTAAAGGATATAAAGGAACCACCACTCTGTGTGTGTGTGTGTGTGTGTGTGTGTGTGTGTGTGTGCATCCACATGCACATGTATGCACATGCACAGGTTATACTTCCCAGAGGATCACCTACCTTTCCAGTAAGACTTCTTTGGAATGAGTATAGGCACTTGCATGCATTTATCCACAATAAGAATATGAGCTTGGAATGTGGCTTAGTGGTAGAGTGCTTTCCTAGCATGCATGAAGCCCTGGGTTCAATTCCTCAGTACCACATAAGCAGAAAAAGCCAGAAGTAGCCCTGTGGCTCAAGTGGTAGAGTGTTAGCCTTGAACAAAAGAAGCTCAAGGACAGTGCCCAGGGCTTGAGTTCAAGCCCCAGGACTGGCAATAAATAAATAAATAAGAATATGAAATATGTGAAAGAGTATATATGGTATGTATGCTGGATCTACCACTTAGCTACATCCTCAGCCTTAAATTCACATTCTAAGCACACACCTATGCTTCTGACCTGACTTATTTGCTTACATTATTTTATGCTAATCTAAGCAGAAGATGAATACTAGTTTCAAGCCCTGCATAGTAAGCACTGCTGTCCATTGTCCATTTGCCCCAAATCCAGTCCCCACCGACTTTCAACCTCTATAGTGAGTACAACATTTGGCCTGAAACTTAAGTGAGCATTACATAAATGCTGTTGCTTATGGGAAAACATTAGTTGCAAATGTTGTAGACTAGTCAGCGAGCTGTATTCATTTCAATAGAGGGAGATTAACAAGTAGAGAAAGCACAACATGACCAATGGCTTTGGGAAGAGATTGAGCTTACTGATTCTGAGTATTTAAAAAAAACATATTTGTAGAATGGGATGTTACACCACATCAAAAAGAACAAGCTTGTGGTACATGCAACAACATGAATAAATTTCAGAGACTCACTGAAAGAAAGCAGACACAGTAGAGTTCATCCTATATAATTCTAAATAGGTAAAACTGATCTAATGTGCGGTCGGGGGGAGAGACACCAACGGCTGCTCCTGAGTGAATAGGGAGAAAGAATGTCTGGGAAGGGCATATGGAAACCAGAAATGGAAATATTCCATATCTTGAGAAAAACTTATCTAAGGATTTTTTTATTGTAAAAATACTGTACAGAGGGGTTACAATTACATGGGCAAGATAATGAATACATTTCTTATCAAGCATTGTGGCCTCCTCCTTTGTTTACCTTTCCCATCCCTTCCCAGCCTCCCCCCCCCCCCCCCCCCCCCCCCCCCCCCCCCCCCCACCCTCCCCCCCCCACCAAAGTTGTAAAGTTCGTTTTCGACATGACAACTTGTACTTCTCATTGTTGCAACGGGTCCACCTGTATCCTTATTTAAATGACTTGTTTTTCCTCTTCCCCTCCACAAATTATACCGACATCAAACACAGTGAAAGCAGGGGTTATACTGTGGGGGAGTGACATACAAAGCAACAAAGAAATAATCTTATAAATGCGTTAGAAACAATCGCATGAAAGAAAAAAAAAACATTTAAATACATATTATCTAAAGATTTTTAATTTCCATCTTTTTTTTTTTCTTGTCGGTCATGGGGCTTGAACTCTGGGCTTGGGTGCTGTCCCTGCACTCTTCAGCTCAAGGCGAGTGCTCTACCACTTGAGCCACAGTGCCACTTCTTTATATAAAGATTTTTAAAAACTCAGTACAATTATGATCTATGAATTTAATTATATGTGTAATTTGCTTGAAAAACCAGGGAAGGTGAGGGGTGTAACTCATGGGTAGATTACCAATTTAGTATGCAAAGTGCTATGAGTTTAGTCCCCAGCATTGCAAAACAAACACTCAAACTGAAAGAATCACAACATCTTGGATTATGGTTATTATACATGCTAGTCTAAGGAATAGAATATGCTAAAATGTGTAGCTTATTCTGGAATGCCTAAATGTGATATATTTCTGGATGAATAGGAATACGATAGATACAAGCAAATATAGCAAAATATTAAAGATTTTAGAACTTCCGGCTTGGTTATCTGGTCATCCACCTTAGCTGTACATGCAAATGATGACAAACAGGTTAGCTGTAGTGGTGATATGGAGCTATAAACCTGTTACTTGCTGTAGCAAGTTTGAGGCCAGAAAAGAAAAAACCATAGCAAAAAGCTGTGGGAAATTATTTACTCTACTATATTATTTCTTTAGTTAACCATATATTGTTTGACTTAACGTTAGTTTGACTAGCCTGGAGCCGGTGGCTCATACCTATAATCCTAGCTATTAAGGAGGCCAAGATCTGAGGATCAGAGTTTGAAGCCAGCCCAGGAAGGAAAATCTGTGAGACGCTTATCTCTAATTAGCCAGCAAAAAAACACAAAAACCCTGTAAGTGGATCTGTGGCTCCAGTGGTAGAACATCAACCTTGAATAAAAAAGCTAAGGGACAGCACCAGGCCCAGAGCTCAAGCTCCAGTACTAACACATGCAAACACACACACACACACACACACACACACACACACACACACACACACACACACACACACACACACACACACACAGAAAGTGATTTGAACAGAAGAAAATATTAAATATTTTAAGGTATCCCAACTCATTATGAGGAAACGATTACATTGTTTAATTTTTAAAATATAGGGAATGGCCAGACACTGGTGGCTCACATCTCTAATCCTAGCTACTCAGGAGGGTAAGTTCTGAAGATCAAGGTTCAAAGCCAGCCCAGGCAGGAAAGTCTGTGAGACTCTTATCTCCAATAAACCACCAGAAAACTGGAAGTGGTGCTGTAGCTCAAAGTGGTAGATGCTCACATTGAGCTGAAGAGCTGAGGGACAGCACCCAGGCCCAGAGTTTTAACCCCAGGACTGGCCAAAACAAAACCAAAACAGCAACTTTCCTGCCTGGGCTGGCTTGGAACCACGATCCTCAAACCTCAGCCTCCTGAGTAGCTAGGATTACAGGCATAAGCTAAGCCACCAACACCTGGCAGTCTAAAACTTTTGAAAATTGAATTTGTTTCCATTTTGGAAAAAGAGTTATTCCATGATTATGATGAGGTCTTAGGAGAGAGCCCCTCTATCTGCACACATCTTCCCCAAATCTGTATATTTAAAGGCAAACTTTGTGGAGGGCAGAGAGGTTTGAACTCAAAGCTTCAAATTTGCTAAATAAGCTCCCTACCACTGAGCCATAAATCCCCAGGCATTTCTTTTTCCAGTACTAGGGTTTGAATACCAGGCCTCACAATAGCTCAACTTGCTTGGGTCTACTACCACTTTATCTCCAATACTCTTTTTTTTCCTGGTTATTTTGGACTTTTCTATCTGGACTGGCTTAGAACCGTAATCTTCTAGATCTCAGTCAGCTGAATAGCTTAGATCACAGGCATGAGCCACTAATAGTGGGAAAAAGCAAAGGTGCCACTTCCGGTTTTCAGGTGATTTATTGGAGATAGGAGTCTCACGGTCTCTCCTGCCCGGGTTGGCTTTGAACCTCGATCCTCAGATCTCAGCCTTCTGAGTAGCTAGGATTACAGGCGTGAGCCACCAGCGCCCAGCTAAAAAGCAAAGGTTTTAATAGCAGTTTACTTTTGCTAGACAGCATTTGACATACCAGAGAAAATTGTGGTTCTAAGAGGCCTGGCTCTCACATAGATCTAGAAAAAAAGGTAATAAGCAGGTAAACAAATAAACTAGTAAATCTTAAATGCTTTTTAAAAAGAGTGAAATTGACCAAAATGAACTTAGTAACTCAATGGCAGTGATGGGAAGGAGGGAACAAGTGGGAAAGAGGGAACAGCTGATGTTATGCAAAATAAAAGAAATGTACATATTACCCAATGTGGAAGAAATAACTATCACAAAGCTCATATAACTCATAAATGTTATAGACCATGATAGACAATTTGCTCCAGGAAAGTAAGAATGTGTTTGTGACTTTAACTGAGCATCACTATCCCACAATACTGTGAAAATTGGGAAATTATGTAACCACTTAATCACAATAAAAATTTTGGAAAAAAAAAGAGTGAAATTGTGCACAGAACAAACAGAATGAGTGTGACAGAGAGGATCTCTGTGAAGAGGGACCAGGCATGGGGGCACCCAGCCTGTAATCGTAGCTCTTAGGAGGATAATGCAGGAGGATCATAAATTTGAGGCCAATTTGAGCTGGTTAGTAATAACCTGTCTCAAAACTAAAGGAAACAAAGAGGCTGGGAATGTGGCTTAGTGGTAGAGTGCTTGCCTAGAATGAATGAAGCTCTGGGTTTGATACCTCAGAACCACAGAAACAGAAAAAGCTGGAAATGGCATGTGGCTCAAGTGGTAGAGTGCTAGTCTTGAACAAAAGAAGATCAGGGACAGTGCCCAGGACCTGAGTTCAAGCGTTAAGCCCCAGGACTGGCAAGAGAGAGAGAAAGAGAAAGAGAGAGAGAAGGAAAGAGAGAGAGAACAAAACAAGAGCCAAGACAGAGTAATGGGAAGGCAAGAGAGTTTTAAACATGTGACTGAAATCATTTGATTTATACTATAGGTCACTCTGGGTTCCATGTCAAGAACGAATTGTAGATGTACAGATATACAACAAGAACTGGTTCAAGACAGAATAATGCCTTGAATATGGCAAAAAGCAGTTGAGAGGGATAAATAGGCCAAAGGAGTTCAGACTTACCAAATGACATAAAATATATATCCTGTTATGCCAAGTTAAGTCAAACGCAAAAGATTCCAAAACTGGATGAAAGGCACAAATGGGCTTGCTAGGGACTAGCAGTTGGGAAAATAGATTAGCCACAACAGATAAGTGGAAATTTTTTAGGGTAAAGGAACTTAACTGTCCTAGATCTTGTTTGTTGTGGTAGTGGTTCTAGGTCTACACACAATCATCACAATTCAGCCCATTACACATGATATGAATTATATTGCATCACTCCAAGAAAGCTGAGAAACAAAAT